GCAACCTCAAGAAGACAGACCTTGAGTAATATTGCTTATTATTTCTGTAAAATGCTTAAAATTAATTGTATCAAATGATTAGAGAAAGTAAGAAGAGCTTTTGTCTCTTATAGAAAGTGATATGTCTTACAATTATATGAAGTGCTGTGTTATTAGGGCAAAGTTAATTATCTTGTAACAGGAAGTCTAAGAAACATCAACACACTTGATCTGTAGTCCTCTATTTTTTTAATTACTACACTGTCATTGCCTCCTCCTCCTCCTCCTTCTCCTCCTCTTCCTTGAGACAGGGTCTCACTAAGCTGCTAAATTACCAAGTCTGCTCTTGACCTTGTGATCCTGCTGCAGCCTCCAAAAATGTGGAATTACAGACACGCTTCACCATGTCTGGTTCTTTCACTGTTTTTAAAGAGCATTTCTCCCAGAGTGATTTCCAATATAAAGGTTAGTAGACTTCCAAAGTCTTTTGAATCACTTTTCTTAGAAGCGGAAAGACTGACATCCAAAGATTTCAGAGATGGACGGAAAAAAAGAATTAGCAAAATGTAGTATTCAGCAAAATAGAGATATATATTATGCCAAAATTTTGCTTGTGTTAATTTGCACAGATTGCCATGATCCAATACAACCTATTATCACATATCTGGTTTGGACATCTTTCTTCTTGTAAAGTTTGGATATGATTCACAGACTATTATATTTATCCTTTTAGGGGCTAAAATTCAGAGGTAATTAGTGTATTCATTCAAAAGACTAAGAAATCAGAGTCTGCCCATTGGCAGATTTTGCGCGGAGAGAACCAGAGGCCTCACCAGGAGGTGGTCCCCACCTGGAAACCAGCACCCTGCGCAGGCTGAGGTCACAGACAGGCCCAAGCCTCTCTCCAAGAGTCTGCCCCATTCACAGCCTGCGGGGGAGAGAGATCCAGGTCTCCCCAGGAAGCGACCCCAACAGGGAAACCTTATCATCTTCATTATTTCATTCAGCAGGGTTTTATTCTTTTTTTATTTTGTTTGATTATTTTAAATCTGATGGCAGGAGCAGCTATTTGAAAGATAACAAGACATATGGTAGGCATTTTGGATTTACTAGTGGCCTGTTTTGAAGTCCTTTATTGCTTTCACTGTTTTGGCTTCATTGTTTCTGTTTTATTCCGATCTGTTCCACTTTTATAAGTCCAAAAGTATCTACAGCTATTTTGAAGACAACAAAAAGGCATTATTGTAACTATTGTTGGTTTCTTAAGGTTTTGAAGTCCTGTATTACTTATACTGGTTTATTTTTCATTGGCTTTCTTCTGTATTATTTTCCTTGATTTTGTCATTTTTCAAATAAAATAAAATTTTAAAAAAGAAACAGTTCAAAAGAAAACAGGAACTGTGATGGAGGACAGGGACTAGGAAGAGAAAAGAAAAAAACATATATCACTAAGATAGATGTACTGCTAATTTCTCTGAGTTCACTGAGAAGAAAGGTTTGTGTTAATATTGTTTGAACAGTATCACATGCTTGTATCTTATATCCCAAGTAACTACTCTGAAGATAATGATATGCAATGTATTAATTATTGTTACTCTCCTATTATCTTGTTTTTAAATTCTGAGTTTTTTCTTTCTTCCTTTTATAATAAAAAGAAAAAAAGACTGATAAACCCATCATCATAACGTCCAGAAATTTTCAAACTCCCAAAAGGAAAAGAACATAGTTATTACAGTCACTCTTCACTCCCCTGAGAACCTATTCCCCATCTCTACTGAGTTTCTTAGTCTCAACTTTATTTATAAATGTAATTATATCATATGTGACCTTTGGATTCTGCTGCTTTTACTCAAGATAGAATTCTCAAGCTTCATCTATGTTACAGTAAGTAACATTTACTCCTTTCTAGGATGTTATGGTTGATACATTGTGTCAACTTGAAAAGTTTACAAATTTAACCAAGGGCCTCAGCAGGGAGCCAAGATCCTTACTTTGTAAACATCCTCAGTCTCTACAAGAGGAGGGCAGGGGGATTTTGTGAGGGCTACACCTGCTCTGGAGATGGGTCTGGAGAAAAAGAGGCTTACCCTCCTCCACCGTTTTGCCCTTGTTTCCTTGTTGTCTTCTGCCACTTGAAGCATTGCCCCAGTGCCATGCCTCCTTGCCTTGGAGCCAGCTGATTACGGACTGAAACCTCCACAAACTGTGAGCTCAATAAACCTTTCCTTCCTTAGTTTTAGACGTCAGGTATTTTGTGTCAGTAATGAGAGAGAAGTAACCAAGACACTTAGGACTTCTGCCCTGATTGTCCTCTTACGGTCTTCTCATGTCCCCCGAGGTCCTCCAGAGCCTGCTTTCCAATACAAACCAGATGCTCTCACTCCTCTACTTAAAATGTTCCAAAGCCTTCCCATTTCACTTAAGAGAAAAATTGAATTCTTTATCATGGCTTATAAGACCCATTAATGGTCAAAGACCTCCCCTGCCTACTTCTCTGAGCACAGGTCTGTCCCACTCTCTGCTAACTCCTTCGGGGCCAGTTACACTGACTTCTTCTTGCCCACTGAATCTTTCTGGCTTGTTTCTATCTCTGGCCATTTGCACTTGATGTTCTCTCTGTGAAGAGTTCTGCTTTTCATGTTCCTCCATGACTGGTCCCTTCTCACCTTTCAGGCTTTGTTGTAGTCAGTACTTACAGAGGAATAGATTTAGTACAGAACACAGAATTTGTAGAACTGTTTGATAGTATTCACCAAAAGAATCAAATGCACAAGATGACACGAAATCTGTTCACACATAGAGACCCAAAGAATTCAGCAGAGAGACTGGATTCTATAGCTGTGCCTTTACTCTTTGTAGAATTGTTCCCTTACAGTGGCATCAAGGAAGCAGAGAGCAAAACAGAATCAAGAGAAAAAGGGGCCAGGGACCCCACATAGTACCCTAGATCACACCCCATGATTTGTTTTCTCCTGCCGGCCCATCCTGTAATCACCAATCAGCTACAAACTCCTCAGTGGGTTCAGAGCATCAGTGAGGTCAGCACTCTCACAATCCAAACACTTCTCCAGAAGCCGTAATCTATTCAGGGTGACAATTAAAAATAACCAGCCCACTGCCCACCCTTCATCTGACTTCTTTTAACACCTAAATCACATGACTTATAAGGCTAAAAGGTTCTCCTTAAACATTTCTTTAAAAATACAAGCTCAAAATAGAAAAATGTAAACTCATATTAGAGATAGATAAGGAGAAGCCATAAATAGAGATGAAATATTTGTTACATATATCTGACCAACAAAGAGTCCAGAATACATAAAACATTCCTATAAATCAGAAAAAAAAAACCCTAAAAATCCAAGAAGAAAAAATGGGCAAACAAGATAAATGGACATTTCACAGAGAAGAAAACAGTAACGGTCAATACATTTATGAAAAGACAGCCTGTCTCATTAGTAAACTAGGAATTACAAATTCCTGCAAGGTGATATATCAGCTCTCTGATTGGCAAACATTTTTTGCATGGATGTACAGCTACGGAAATTTTAACCATTGGTTGGAGTGCACATTTGCATAATATTTTGGAAAACCATTTAGAGTTCAACTACATCATCCCCTATGACCAATAATTCTGCTTCTAAGTACCTATTCAAAAAACTCTAGCACATATTCACTAAGGGTCATGCATACAAGGACATTCAGAGCAACCTGGTTCATGCAGAAAAAGCTTGCAATGTACAAGTTGTTTCTTTTACTGACCTGCTAGGGACACAAAAAATACTGAACCTACTATTTCAGGCTTCTCTGTTCTCAGTGACATCTCACGCTGCTACACCAGCTCTGAGACTGGGGATCTTTCACTGTACTTCTGAGAAGCACAAGGCCCGGAAAGGGAAACCAGAACCATGTTCCCCTTTTCTTATTGGGTCATTCACGTCCTCTGTATTGTTTTATTTACTTACTTACTTAGTTACTTAATTACTTATTACTACTTTGGGAATAAACCAAAGGCAAGCAATCCAGAATCAAATCTAATCTCATCCATCCATCCTTAGACCTTAAAAACCTACTTTCTCCCTACATTCTTCCTGGCTATGAAGAGGTTTAGAACGGTGTCCACTTACTTTTCACCTCATCTGTCACATTTTACTCCTACCTCCCTTCATTTGGGTTTTGGGGTCTGCTACCAAACTCCAATTTCCTTTTGGGAAAGTTCTACTGCAGATGTTATATCCCAAAGCGCCTGCCTCAGTTAGTGCTTGGCAGTTTAATGTCTTGGGGGAGTGCAGTGATCCCGCGCACCTGCCCAGGTCCAAATCCTTGAAAAGGTTTTTCAGTCTCTCTCAGCACCATAATGTAAGAATCTTTTTACCATACCTTTCACAGTAGTTTTATAATACTTTAAACATCTTTGTCACAGTGCTTTCACATCCCAGGGATGGCACAAATAGTAAATGAAATAGCACAAGAAAGCACATGGCCTCGGATGCCTTTTTAAAAATGTGAATGTACTGTACTTGCTTCCTGTCTTTTCCTCAGCGTTTGTGACCTTTCAAAAGGAGGTCAGATAAGATCAGTTTTGCCTTTTTTCTATAGAAGGAAATTAGACCCGTATGGGCTGGTGTCCTGGAAGAGGCTGCCGCTTGGACATTTCCATTTCCGCTAAGGAAGGAAAGGACACCGTGGGGAGCGTGTAGAAGTCAGCTGAAAAGCCCACAGCAGCAGAAATGCACGCCTTGGGCAACCACACCACCCAGGCGGGTCCACGTTTGTGTGGCCGGGCCCAGCAGTCCTTAAGTGCAGCTCCCTAAATTGTTTCAGTCTTCACAGGAATTTGGGGAGCGGCTGACAGCATCGACCTCACCATGGAACTCACTGCTCCAGGATGCACCAAGGAGCTGGGGATAAAGGGAAAAGCAAAACATGGGCGTCCTCGGGTTAGCCATCCTGCTCCCAACCAAAACCTTCCAAGGCGGGGGTGCAAGCGGTGGTTTTCGTCCCATTCCCTCGGTTCCAGAGCGAGGACAAGGGTGCGCAGTGTCAGGTCCTCAGGCCGGGGGTGTGCGGGGGCGGGCAGCGGGTCCGGTGACGCGAGGGAGCCGGGGGCGGGAGGTGACGCGCGAGGGGATCACAGCGCCGCCCAGCCGAGCGGGGCCTGAGATTTAAAAGTTGGTGGCGCGCGGCAGTCAGTTTGGCGGACGCGGAGGCGCGGAGGGCACCCGGCGCAGGAGCCTCGGGCAGCCCGCAGACGCCGAAATGCCGCGCGCCGCCCGCTGCAGCCCAGGGCCGCCCCCCGGACAGGTGGCCGCGGCGTCGCGCCTGCTGCAGCTGCTGCTCCTGCTCGCCTGCTGTGCTGCCGCCGGCCGAGGTGAGACGCCCCGCGCCCCCCACTTCTCCGCCTGCTCCCTTCCCGTCCTCTTCGCTGGCTTCTGGACTCGCCCTTGCCTCGGGTAGCAGCTGCGCTCCGGGATTCCCGCCCTTGAGGACAGGTGCAGGTGCAGGTACAGGTGCAGGTGCAGGTGCAGGTGCAGGTGCAGCCAGTGCGGGGCCGGTGGCCGGGCTGCAGCGCATTCCGGTCCCGGGCCCAGATCGCACTCGGGGTGCGGTTTCCAGCCCGCGGCCCGTGGCTAACAGGAGTTGAAATAGACAACGTTAAAATGTTTTCCTTTTCCATGCAATTACTGGGGATCCATCGACACAAAGCGAGAGTTTGCTATGCACTTGCCAGGCGGGGTAAACCGGCCGTGCGCGCATCTCTCAGGTGAGCGCGAGCAAACAGCGGCACCGGCCGGCTCCGGTCCGCCAGGAGGGCGGGGTGGGTGTGGGGAGTGAGCTCCGCCGCTCACCGGTGCGCAGGCACCAGGTGGGGAAAAGGAATGGAGACAATCCCATCGCGCAAAGTTGGAGAAGCCAGGGTACCAAGTCCAGCTTTCAGGGAGTGTACAGCTAATGCCCGAGGAGATGTGACCCCGTAACAAGCGGGACTTCCTGATCCTGGTTTAGAGAGAAGAAATAGGAGAAGCCAAGTCGGAGAGGGAGATCTGTGACAAGGTGCTAGTGCACCGCAGAGGAGATTGCTTCCCCGGGTCTCTAAAGGTTACGATAAAGGGCGGGGGCGGGACGGGGGCCGTTCTCCATCCCTGAGCTGTGAGGACATCTCACAGCCAAGCGCTCAGTCCTGAGTGGGCCCCCAGTTCTCTTAGTTTCCAGTTCAGAGAGGTAAGGATGGGCAGGCAGTGCAGCCGGGTTTTGTTTGTTTGGTTTGTTTTCCCCCCCTAAGTGTCCAGGACTTAAAATCTAACCTGCAGGGATCTTCCAGAGCTCTAGCCCAGCCCTCGACTGGAGGGCTGTTTTTCTGTCCTTAACCCAGTTGTTTTTACTGCCTTTATTTCATTGTCTTGATTTTCTGCTCTTCTGAGACACTGGAAGAGGTGGGCATCCCTACAATCAGAAGCTGACAGACCTAAGCCTTCTCCCCAGAGCCAGCAGGTACCCACATGAATATGCAAGGCAAATGGTCATCCTTCCCGGTACCCAGAATCGAACTTTAGACCCCAGGCTTGCCAGGCAGACGCTTGCACCACTGAGCCAAACCCCCAGCCCTCAACCTTCTCTGTTTTAAATTTGTCATTAGATTTTAAAAAAGGGTTGATAATCTTTATGTACTTTATTAAGGAAGCAAATAATTATAGTTTTAAAAATTGCTCTGATAAGTAAAGAGTGTGCACTTCCTGTGCATGTTACATGTGTGCTTGCAGTGATCAGTGGGTCTGTGGGGGCTGACTGCTGGGAAAGGGTGGGACAGGGTGGGCCCTGGTGAGGCTGCTGTAAATGAGCGGTGGCTATGGAAGGTATCAGCTGGTTCCTAAAAGAAGATAAGTCCTGGATTTTATTTCCAAAAGGACATCTCTGCTGGCCGACTAGTCTCATTAAAAATATGTCCTCTATATTTTTCAAGCAAAAGGATGAAATGTCCCCCTTGCTACTTGGAGGGTTCCTAGGCTGCCCTCTTGTGTCTTCATTTCCCTTTCAGGCCTGTTCTTAAAATACTAAAAAAACTAATTTTATTTTTCTACCGATGTGGTGGAAGGGGAGAGGGTAAATACACAGAAATCTGCCTTAGCCCTGACTCCATAGAGACGCCACAGCGGTGGTGCACCAGATGCATCAGCAGAACTTGGAGCTAATCTATCACGGTCAATCACTATGTAAATGCAACCGGATGTATCTAAAAGCAACAAAAATGTCACAAGCCAGAGAAAAGCAGAAGTGTCAGTAAATGCATCATCCATAGCGAAAAACGAATTAGCGGAGCATATATAATAGCAATGAGATGACAGAGTACCAGTCACCAACTTGATAAATGAGAGCAGTCTACTCAGAGAATGTGATTGCAAGATGAAAATGTCTTAGAAGAGGAGCACAGTTAGGATATCTGCAGCAAACAATCACTTGATTATGCTTGTAACAATGAAGGACCGAATGGCCAAGACTAAATTAGAGTGTCTTTCCTACCTCACAAAGGGAAAGAAAAATTTCACAATCATCCTGTTTTATGAAATAATATTGCAGTATAAATATTTTGGTGAACTTGAGCAAAAACAGTACAGTTTTTATGACCTAGAAGACAGTAGTGCTGTTTGAGCTTAATGTTGAAAGTGACCTGAGTACTGCTCTTAATAGTTCTTTATAAAGTCCACATCTGAGAGAATATGACTTGAGTGCCTCCCAAAGGTGTCCTGTGTTAGAATCTTGGTCCCAGCATAGCATCCTTGAGAGGCGGTGAGCTCTTAAGAGGTGGTTCTATTAGGAGGTGGTTAGGTCATGGGGGCTGCCCTGGGGAGGAATTAAGGTAGTGTTCCCCTAGGACCATGATTGTCATAAAAAGAGCAAGAGAGTGAGTTGTCATAAGAAGAGTAAGACTGTCCTTTCCCTGCTCCCTGGCTTCCTCTCTTGCCAAGAGAGCATCCTGAGTGATCACTCTGGCAGTGTCCCCATCCACCATGAACCCTTCAACCCAAGCTGAATCAACATGGCCGCCTAATCTTGCACACACAGCTTCCAAAACTGTGAGCTAAGTATACTTCTTTATAAATTACCAAGCCTCGGGTATTTAGTTTCAGTAATGAGAAAAGCAGACTAATATACCATATCTTGGGAAGAAAATTGCATCAACTCTAATTAACAACTAAGCAAAGGGCAAAATAACTTTCCCTTACTTGGATTCAGACATAAGGTACTTGTTTTCTATACATTTTGGCTTCTGTGTCATTCTTCACCTGAGACTGCATTTACATATTTTGTGGAAGAACAACAAAGAGCCCATTTTAAATTGTATTTAATCGTTGGGGACTAAATTTGGGCTAAATTAAGCCTAATGGCAATTTCCAGGTGACTGGAGCTTGGGATTTGGAAGGAGCAGCGCACCTCGTGGATGTTGTGAGGCAGCCTGGGAGAGTGCAGGGCTTTAAGCTGTTACTGAGGGTGTCAGTCTGGAGCATAAGAATATAAAATCGCATTTTTAAAAAACAGAAATACCCTTTCAAACAGAATCTCTTGCAGTAAGTTCTCTAAGTACACTACATGAAAGTTTGAAAAGTACAGCTTTATCCCTTCCTGAACACAGGATAAGCTGAGAGTGCGTCTCGAGGACAGCAGTGAGTTTAGGTTACATTCTTGTGTAAAGGGAGAGGTTTGTAACAGAAGTGGGAACAGTTGTTCCCTGAAGGGAGATTTCCATCAGATTCCTAAGTAAATCAACTTTCTACCGTGGACTGCATGATCTCTATGCATTTTTCCTGATACTTATTGCCACAGAAGACATAATACATTATTGCCAGAACTTAAATAAAATAATAGTTAAAGCATGAGAACTCAAGGCAAGATGGTCACAGACTGATGGAATTAGGGGGGAAAACTGTCAGGATTTGAAGTCAGTCAGTTGGTTTGAAATCAGCCTCTTCCTATTTAGCTTGCCCTGAGCAAATTACTCCATAATTTGTTTCAGTTTCCTCAGTGTAAAATGAAAATAGTAATTGTAATAATAATATGTATTTTAAGAAGTCAGTGTGAGGACTAAAGGACATAATACGTTTCAAATGCTTAGCACAGTACCTGGTGTTAGAAAGCGTCCTGCTTAGTGTGAACAGATGCTCTTCTTTCTCTATCCCTCCCCCTCCTTCCCCTCCTCCTCCTCCTTCTCCAGTGCTTGAAATCAATCCCAGGCTTTCAGCATGTGAGGTACTGTACCACTGAGATATCCTACCAGCTTGAAAGTTTCCTTCTTTAAGCTTATATTTAAAGAACTTAATTTTGCTACATTTAATCATTTTTAAAATGTATAGTCTTTTACTAGAAGATGTTTTCTTATTTTAGTAAAATTATATCCAAAACAATACACACTAATATTTAAATACTAATAAAAGCTGAAAACATTCAGATAATAATATAATTTGCATTAGTATGATTTAGAAGTAAACTTACAGAGAAAATAATATTCTGAAGTATATAAGCTAGGAGATAGCTTTATTTCAGTCATAATTAAGGCCTTAATAAGTAACTTTTTAAAAAGATCTTTATTATAATACAATGTATCTATCATAAAATTCACCTGCCTTTATACATTTGAGAGCTATTTTAGTACAATTAAGGAGGTTTGCAGTTATCACAACAAAGCAGTTTTAGAATGTTTTCATCATCCCTAAAAGAACAGTTATGTCCATCTGCAGTCAATCCCCATTCCCGTTTCTAGCTCCAGACAATCACTAATCCTCATGTCATCATAGATATGATCTTATCTGAAATTTCATATAAATGGAATCATACAGTACCTGATTTCTTACAGATACAGTAGTTTGTTTAACTTGGCATCGTGTTTCTGGATTCTATTATGTTATGGCATTTATTATTAGTTCATTTTTGGCCCAAAGGTTATTCCTTTATATAGTCAACTGCATTTGGTTTTTCTGTTCCTAATCAATGGATGTTTGGATTGCTTCTACTTTGGAGGTCATATGACTAATGTGCTGTAAACATTCAGGCATATGTTTTTATGTAGACATATATAATTCATTAGTGAGAGTAGTATTTTATAGTATTATTAAGGTTTATTTAATAGTTATGTCTTTTACTGAGTCAAATGCTAAAATGTCTAGTCAAGTTAGATGGATAATAATATAGTGGAAATGAGCAATAATATCTGAAAAGGAATTATATGGATATTTCATGTTAAAATAAATATTATAAAATTAACATGACTATAATTTTATTTTTAGGTGCTCCAGTATTACCTCACAGATTATGGTCTGAACAAGAACTTCAGTTGTGGATTAAGGTAAAGAATTATCCTCACATAATTGGTGGAAACTTTCCTTTATTAAAATTATTATGATAAATGAAAGAATTGAACTTTGGCACAACTATGCAAATATGTCAGAATTATAATTTTATTAAAATAAAACAGGTAAATATAAAAAGAAACAGGTAAAGTAAGGAAGGAGATATAAATCCTATAAATAGAGTAATTATAATGAAAGTGAATGTGCTAAAAACATATCACTTTAAAAACAGGGTTTCTTAGATGTGTTTTGTCATTTATTTAAGATCTAGAAAATACCATATTTGATGCAGAAAATAATAACAAAAAGAAAGCCTAGAAGGATGGAAAATGACTACCACGCAAATATGAACTGAAAAAAATTGGAATAATAGTCTTAGTGTTAGGTAAAATAGAATTCAGATGAATAAATAATCATGACAGACAAATGGAATCTTGCATACTGAAGAAACAATTAAAAACAAGAATATACAGCCAGTATTTACATGTCCTAACAATACAACCTCAAAATTTCTTTAACAACTGGTAGAAATTCAGGGAAAAATAAGAAAGTCAATAGTTTTAGTTAGAAATTTTAACATTCTCTCTCTCAAAAAATGATAGTTAAACCAGATAGCTTATAAAAATATATCAAATGCATAATCATATAATTAATAAATTTGAGCAGTTAAGATGTTTTGTAAAATTTGTAAAACATAGTATGTCCATTCATCTTGCATATAGTTGGGGCATTTAAAAAAATAGAACATATGTTCAACTAGGAAGATTCTATAAATTGAATTTATTTAAGTGGTTTCCAAACACAAAGAAGTAAGAAATTATTAACAAATGCATATCTCATCTATTTAGAAAATATCTCATCTATTTAGAAAATAAGTATCATTTTTGTCATCAACTTGATTTTTATTTATTTATTATTTTTTTACTTTTAATCAAACACAGAACTGCACATTTGCAAGGCATGTGCTGGGCCACTGAGCTGAATCCCCAGTCCCATGACCCTGACTTTAAAAGAAAATTACATAACACTTAGAATTTAACGACAAAGTCACTACAAGTCAAAATTTGTAGTCTACAGCTAAAATATTGGCTGGAGAGAAAATATATAAATTTTCTTCTATATATAAGAATTTTCTTCTTTCCTGATAAATATACATATATGTATGTTATTTATATGTCTTTATATAGACATCTACATATGTATTATGTGACGTGTTTATGTTTATATATGTGTGTCATATGTATCTTATATATGTATATACACTATCTTAGTCACTTTTTCAGTACTGGGACAAATTATCTGACACCCACAAGTTAACACAAGGTAAAGCAGAGGTGTCAGTCCATAGCCATCTCACCCCAAGGCAGGGAGGCATGGCCGAGAGACATGGCAGAGAAGAAACAGTTCACAGAATGCAGACAGGAAGAAGCAAGACTTCCTTCTTCTTTCCATTTTTATTCCATCCAGGATACACACGTATTGGTTGGTATCACCCATACCCAAATAGGTCTTCCTTCTTTACGAAGTCCATTGTCCACAGCTGGAACTGCACTATATTAGTCAGTGAAGTAATCCAATATCATATATCCATGATCCAGTATTACACAGCCATGATCCCAAAAGCTCTACCCATGAGCACGTGAGGATTTGGGGAGACACCTAGATATAACCATAATATACACATATACATAGTTCTAAACTTTTTCTTCCCACTTGATAAATATATATATACATATATATACACACATGTATGCATTTATATCTACTAAGAAAGAAGAAAGTTTAAAAATAAACATTGGAATAAAAAACAGAAAATTAAAAGAAATATTAATGAGGTAGATTATAAAAACAAAGGCAGAAATACATTTTAATAAGAGAAAGTAGAGAACAATATTAACAAAAACATTTTTACTTTCAAAAAGAATAAGCATTAATTAATAGTACTGATTTTTTAAAACAGAAGAAAACAAAGATAAGTTATATACACTGAAAAACAGTCAACAACAAGCAAAATGGAGATTTTAAAATATTTTCAAAAAGTATTATGGATAATTGACTATATAGTTGCACAACTCTGTAAATACTCTAAAAGACATTTAATTACACATTTCAAATAGAGGAATTATATGGGATGTAGATTGTACATCAGTAAAAATGTTACCAAAAAGAAAAATAGGATAGGTAGCTATTGGGCAATAGTTTTGAAAAACTGGTGGAATAATATTCTTAGAAAAATATCTGAGACCCCCAAAATGCAGTAATAATATAATAAGCACTCAGGAAAAAACGTTTTTCCTTACATCATTGGCCAAAGCCTGTGTTCTATGGTACATAGTGTCTGTAAAGCTTCTAAAAGTAAAAACTTTCTCTAGCCTTCACAGATTAAGAATACTCATCTTTTTCTTTCGTTCTAAGAGCTCTGTGAATCCTAAATAAAATTTTAAATGCTAATTTGAGGTCAGCAATATGTTTTTTCTACTTTAGCCTGTAATTGTCATGAATTACATTAATAAATTCTTGCTCTTAAATTACTATAACTGTGAGGAGAATTCATATAATTTTTGGATATAATATCAATATAAAATAATAAAATTTATTTTCAGTAAGAAAATGTAACATGAAATAGTTTAAAGTTCTGAATCCAAGAGTCCCACTTTTGCAAAATCAACCAACTGTGGAATGAAATAGAGGGAAATTGCATCTGTCCTGAGAGCATACAGATTTTTTTTTTCTCATCAGATCCCTGAAGAATGCAACATAAAAACTAACAGTATAACAACTGCTTACATAGTAGTTACATTATACTGGGTATTCTAGGTGTGTAGAGATAATTTAAAGAATGCAGGAAGATGTGTACAGATTATGCAAATATTATGCTATTTTATGTAAGAGACTGGAGCATCCATGGATTTTAGTATCTTGCAAGTGCTGATGCCAATTTCCTGCAAATACTAAGAAACAAGTATATATCATTTGCAGTGGCAACCCAAAATATAAATATTTAGTTAAAGGAACCAATAATATACAATAGATTTACGGTGAAAAATTAAACTCTAATAAAGGAAATAGATGAGGATATGAATATATGGAAAGATGTTTCTTGGATGAAAGAGCTCCTCCAAATTAACCAGTATAAATTGCATGAATCAGTGTTCAGATCTTTAAAGAAAATTTCTAAATTTAAACTAAAGTTGATATGGAGAAATGAAGGTCTTTAAACAGATAAAGACATTTTAAGTACCAAGAGTTGAAAGCAGGACCTTGCCCTGCCGGATTATCAAGACACACTGTACCACTACAGTAATAAAAAAGAAAAAAGGTGCACCCATGACACAAAAACAGAGAAATGAGCTAATGAAATTGAGCTAATGAAATGAGCTAATGAAACTGAGTTGCCCTCAGTACTGTGCCATGTTCTTTTGGCATTTACCACCCCAGGGTACTCCAAGCTCTCCAAACTTAGTTTCTAATTACAAAACCATATCTTTACCTGCCTGGCTGTGCTTGGGCAGCCAGAAATGCCTTCACTGCCTGCTAGAGTGGCAGAGACAGATTGAGCCCTTTACTGACAGTGGTCACATGTTCAGCTAACAAAGCCCTTCCTAGATTCTTCTGTCTTCTCTGTTTTATTCATCTACCAGTGTGTCCTGGGTTATCTCCCTCATGATGTGCCTACATTCACATCCTTACTTCCAAGTTTGTTTTGGGGGAGAATGAACTTAAGATAGAAATATATATACTTATAAATGTAACCTACAACAAAATAGCATAAAATTCAGTGAGGGGAAGAAAACATTGTTTAGCAAATAAGGATTGAAAAATCGTCTGACCATATGGAGAAAAAAAAGTATTACCCTGTACAAAGATAAGACTCAAAAGGACAAAAGAGCGAAATATAAAAGCTAAGTTACAGATTCGATAGTCATAGTGTAGGACAATGTCTTTGAGGTAGGATCTGGGAAAGATTTCTTGAACAAAACTTCAAGGGGGCATTTAGAACTCAGCGGTACAAGCACCTGCCTGGCAAGCATAAGGTTGTGAGTTCAAACCCTGGTACCAAAGACAAAAAAAAAAAAAATACTTCAAGAGTATCAAGAGATGGAGGAAGGGGAAGGGAGGGAGAGGGGATGAAAAAAGAATCGAGATGTGTTATGTATGTGTGCCAACTCCTCACAAGAAATAGTCATTAAAAAAAGTACTAATATGCTAGATGGTCTTCATCTGAGTCTGATGACAGCCACCTATAACAAACCAACAGCTAACACCATACTAAATGATCAAGCACTGAAAGCTTTCACTCTAAAATCAGGAACAAGACAAGGATGTTCACTCTTAGCACTACTGGTCACAGCAATTAGAGAAGAGAAAAAATAAAAGGAATAAGGATAGGAAAGGAAGTTCAATTGTCGAGGGGTTTCTTTGCTTTTTTTCTTTTCAGTACTGAGGATCAAACTCAAGACCTCACACTTCCCAGGCAAGTGTTTATGCCACTAAGCTAAACCCCCAACCCTCAATGTCATTATTTGCAGATAGCATAATACTCTACATAGAAGACTACCAAAACTCCACCAAAAGACTTCTAGAATTAAAAACCAGATTCAGTCCAGCAGCCAGATACAAAGTTGGTACTCAAAAATCCTATACACAAATAACAAACTCACTGAGAGAGAAACTAGTGTAACGACACCTTTCATAACTGCATCAAAAAAAAAAAAAGAACTACTCAGGAATCAATCTAACAAAGGCAGTAAAACTCATATCGAAAACTACTCTGAAAAAGGAGATCAAAGGGGAAATAAAAAATGGGAACTATCCCTTGCTCTTGAGTAGACAGGACTAACATAGTGAAAATGACCATACTCCTAAAATTGTTATTTAGATTTAATGCAGTCCCAATTAACATGCCATTAGCATACCTCACAGCATTAGAGAAAATAATCCTAAAATTCATTTGGAACCAGAAAGACCTAGAATAGCAAAAACAATTCTTAGTAAC